AACATTCGATCATACGTCACTCCAAATTTTAGTTAACAAACTGTCAGTGTCAGTTTCATTGTCAGTGCGGATACTCGCTTTTTACCGGCTCTCAGGAAAATTTCATTTTGTGAGTATTTATGCTTTATTTTCTAGCGTAATATGTTATATAGCAAAGAAAATATGCTCTTTTATGTATTTAAACTGTTTTTTCTGTATTATATCTTTGGTCGGCAAAGTTGTGTCAGATTTTCGCAACTTTTTACTCAACATTATCTAGGATTAGGGCTGCCACTTTAATTTTTTCAACAAACTCTTAATCGACCGTGGTTTTGCTTGTGTAATTTTTTTTTTGTAATTGATCTTAGAACGTTTTATAGAAGCTAGAACTATTGTTTCTTTATTTATCGTCATCAGAAATTAAGGATGTCGAATGTAATTTTCTTAACGTCATTTATAGTATGTTATCATATTGTTCAACAGATTTTAAACATGAGCAACCCACCCAAGAGTAGAAGAAAACCAGGGGCTAGACAGTACTCCGATTATTCGCAGGAGATGCTGAATGTGGCGGTAGATTTAGTCACATGTAAGAAAATATGTTCATACGAGGCGGAGAAGCAATTCGGTATTCCTAGGCGTACTATTCTTAACAAATGTAAGAATCTTCATGTAAAATCTGTGGGCCATCCTACAAAATTATCTACAGAAGAAGAAAAGCATATAACTCAGGTTGTTAATTTACCAGCAGAGTTCGGTTGTCCATTGAGTATGATTGACTTGCGTATTGTTCTAAACGATTATTTAGAAAAAAATGACCGATTGCAAGTTTTTAATGGAAAAATGCCAGGCGAACGATGGGTAAGTTCGTTTATGGCGCGTCATAATTTTACTCAGCGTGCTACACAAAATATTAAAAGATGTCGCGCTGAAAAATCTGTTTCAGAAATGATCGAATTTTACAAAAATCTAGAGGGTTCTCTTCTAAACATTCCTCCCCAGAACATACTAAATTTTGATGAAACAAATCTTAGTGACGACCCAGGTACTACGAAAGCCATCTTTAAAATAGGAACTAAGCATCCGGAGCGCGTAGTAAATTCAACCAAAACTTCAGTGTCAATAATATTTGCTGGTACAGCAACTGGTCAGTGTTTACCTCCATACGTAGTATATAAATCCGATCATTTATGGGCACGTTGGTGTCGAGATGGGCCCCCAAACGCCCGATACAACAGAAACAAGTCTGGATGGTTTGATATGAACATGTTTGATGATTGGTTTGAATCTATTGTTCTACCCTGGGCCAATGCTTTAAATGGGACAAAACTTGTAATGGGCAAGACGACAATTTTTGAAAATGTGTTTTAAAATATTCTGAAGTATCTACTGTGGCGACACATGCCACATGTCAACGGATGACGTCACAAGAATCCTACATCGCACATGCAAAGTTTACAAGCGAATAAACACGGATAGAAAATCCCAACGAACAACTGTTGGGCAGAAAGCCCGCCAGGCACGATCACCTCGCCTGGTCGGAGGATCCTCCTTTTCCGATCTTAGGGAACTATACTCTCTGTTCCCTAAACTACTATTACTAAAAAATATAATATTTCTGTAATTTATAAAATAATTATTGAAAAAAATTAAATTTTAATGAACAGTTAATTTATTCGCGCCAAAACGCAGTCACCGGCGTTGACATTTGCTGTGACGTCAACCCTCAGCAAACTTGTAAACATTAGAGTCAAGCAACAAATAAAACATATTAAATATTATTTCAATATGGATTCCAAAGGATATAAGTGGTGTGCGGTCCCTCAGTGCACTAATACATCACTAAAAATCCCTAACAAAGTGTTTATTTACGTGCCAAACGATAAAACGATGCGATATAAGTGGCTAACTCTTGCACGGCGAGATCCTAAAGCTGTTAGTCTTGATACATCTATTTATTTCTGTGAAGATCACTTTGATGTAAGTTGTAACGTTATTCCATATATTCATAATATTCTGCGACATTGTTTTACATACTAAAAATTAATTACAAGTTTTTCGGTAGTAAATCTAACCTCAAAATGTATAGAACTTGTTTATCGACTCTATATTCACGATTGATTATTGATTACTTTATTCATTTTCCAGTTGCCATATGATATGGATAATTATATGGAATATCATATAATGGGTTCTGTGTCGAAAATTCGTATGAAACCAGGTTGTATACCCACTAAATTTGAATGCCAAGCAGATAGGAGAAAACGAGCATCTGATATCACCGAACGACCATATACTCTAAAAAAACAAAGACAGGAATTAATTCAAGAATCTATAAAAGATCTGGAAGATAAAAGTAGTGTAAATAAACCTTTAGAGTTTGAAGAGACATCATCAAGTTCAGGTACCAATGAATTTTTGTATGTATGCTTCTTTGTAATGTATAAGCATAACAACAACTAAAATAACTAGAAAGAAAAAACCTGTTTAAAATGTAAATCTTTCAAGTATTATTCTGTTTATGTAAATTGTATCGCATATTAATAATAGTACCTAATTAAAACAATATGGGTACTTATACTTTACGTGTGAGGTACTAAATGTGTGTACTAATATCTCATTATATATGTGTATCTCATTATGGATTACCTTTATAATCAAATCATTTCTTTGAGTTTTAATTATGGGTTTATAATATAGTTACAATAGATATTAATTTATGTGTTTGCTTTTCAGCTGTGCATGAAAATACAGAAAGTATTACACAAGAAAAAAATAAGACTGCAAATAAATCCATCCAAGTTTACATCACACACAAATTCAGGAGCAAAGCCGTTCAAACTCAAGTTAATTTTATAAACCAGATGACATCGCCATTGAAACCGGATCGCCAATCTGTCTCTACATCGCCATTTAAGATAACAAGATGCACTTCTCAAATCAAACCAACTGCAAATACAGCAAACATAAACAAATGTTCAAGAAAAATATTTGTATCTGAAAACCATTCTGATAGTGATATTTCGTACACACCCTCCATTACACATGGAGAATCATCACCAACTATATCTGTTCAAACAAAATCATGTTCAGATTGCAGTGAGTTGAAACAAGATGATAAACAGAAAGAGTCAACTCAAATGCTGCAATGCACATTACTTAAAATTACCAGAAATCCCCGTGTTTTTATAGGTGTACCTAAAGACTGTTATTTCAAAGTCAAAGTCAAAATCATTTATTTCAATTAGACCAGGATGGCACTTTTGAACGTCAAACAACAAAAAATTATAAGTGAAGCTAGTTGCTCATTCCAAGGCGTAGATTCCTATGGAGAAGAACGAGCAAGAAACTCCATAGGTTACTATTTTTCAATCAGGTTTACAATACAATTCTCTAGTTACATAGCTTTATTGGTTCGACCATGTGAGAACAATGCAACACCCAAATCCAGTCAGAAAGACTGAAAAAGAAAATAACCTTGAGGACAATAAAACAAAGAGATACAGTCTGGAGCTGACCAGTTCCAATCGACGGTGCCCGTTCACGAACATTTTGCGAACCCTAGCACCGCCCATTATTATTTGATAGACTTAATTGAAAAAAATACAAACATTCCTCCAGTTCATTTACTTATGTGTTTGAAAAAGATTAGGCTAAATAACTCATTCAAAGAGCTTGCAGATGATTTCTCCATAACACCAAGTTATGCTAGTAAGATATTTTTTTTAAATATTCCTTTGTTGGCTAGTATAATGCGTCCTTTCTTGGTAAAATTAGATAAATTTAATATAAAAAATAATTTACCAATGGCATTTAGGCATAAATATAATCAAGTAAGTTGCATCATCGACTGTTTAGAGATAGAAATACAAAAACCTTCAAAAGCTTTAAATCAATCTCTCTCCTGGTCGGAATATAAAAAAGCAAACACTATCAAATACCTTGTGTCATGCACACCAAATGGTCTGGTGAATTATATATCACCTGGGTATGGAGGAAGAGTAACAGACACATGTCTAGTGGAAACATGTGATTTTATTAAATGTTTGGAACCAGGTATGTGTGTGATGGCTGATAGAGGTTTTAAGCATGTAGAAATATATTTATTGAAACATGGAGTAAAATTAATGCGACCTCCTAGTGTTGTAACAGGGGCTAAACTCTCAAAAACTGAGGTGAGGGAAACTAAACAAATTGCCAGTTTAAGAATACACGTAGAGAGAGTAATTCGTCGCTTAAGAGAATTTAGCATATTGAAACCACATGCATGTGTGAATCACAGTCTTGTTCAAGTTCTGGATGATATTATAACCGTTGCCTGTGGTTTAATTAATTTGCAAGATTCTTTAGTTAAGTAACTTATGATTATAACGATTAAGAGTGATAACGGAATGTCACAAAATGCTACAAAAATTTACAGGAAAGTACAACGTAGCAATGAAATGGACAAAAAGTTTGTTTGTTTTATTTACATATTATGACTAACTAAACAACACTTTGGTACAATAGTGGGTACACATTATACTTCCATGAATGGACTAAAGCTAAAATAAATTCTGAAACATATTTGTCATCATATTTCACATAAATCATATTTACATTTTTATTTATATTATAATTGCAATCAGCAACACAGAAGTAGCCTTTGTGAAGACCAGACAAATACATTTGTAACTGCATCTGTGCATAATATTTTTTTGTTGGTTTCCCATTATTAACATAATTTTTGTAAGTCTTACTACTTATTGGACATTTAATTTCTATGATACTTTCTTCACAGACCCCATCTGGTGATCCTGCTATCATGGGATATTTTTTACTGATAAACAGGCGACATTTATTTATTGTTTTTCCAAGTTTAGTTGAAACTGTTTCCCTTATTTCACCCTCCAACATTCTGCCACGTTTCATTGCATGTGTGTCTGGAATTCTTCCACCCATTATCAGAGCAATCAATGTTCCATCACTTGTACTACATCTACTAAATTCATAAGCGCGTGAAGCAGTAATCCTGCCATACCTTAGTTCGTACCAAACACTACTTTGACTTTGTTGTCTTCAATCAGTTTAACGTCTGCATCGGTTAATACAAGCTTTTCTAAGCAAGTGTCACAGGATTTTTCCTTATATTTAAATACTAATTTGTGCATGGAGAATGTAATCACTATATCAGGCACATAATCTTCCTGAAATTTGATCAATTCACAATTGTGAAGTTGCCTTTTCCTCCCTTCCTCAATAAACTTGTCTAATACTACACTATTTGATGGCAAACTAGGCTTAGCATTAGATAAATCTTTTGCTGTCAAGTATTTTATGGTAGTCCCAACTTTCGACAGCTTAGATTTCATCCAGTAGCATGCAACTGATGTAACAGATGGTTCTGCACTCCTGCGATGCACCCACATAAGAAAAGCCACGGCGTGTTTGCAGCCTCCTTGTGATGCAACACAGTCATGGCAATCCACCGAAACTGTCTCATTGACTTCATCAACTACTAATGTTACTCTATATAACTTTCCATGGACCTTGTGTTCTGGACAGATTTTTGACTTCACCACGCACAGATTGCCATCGCGTTTTAACTGGACATAGCTTATGGCATCATCACCGTACGATGGCCTGGAGGATCTATAACAAAAAAATCGATTTGTAAATATAGAGTTACATACTTAATCGTAGGTTATACACACAAAACATATTCTCAAGTGATATTTTACAAAATATTTTCTAAATTTATAAAAATTTCATACAGTAATAATAGTACTTACACTGCAGTTTTCACGTTTCTGGATTCTACTGAACAGAAATCTTTGTTTGACGCCAGGAACTCTCCCATCATTAACAAATCCACTCGAGGCAAATTAGAACTGTTTGCCTTAGTAAATCCTAGTTCCATGGCTTAATTAGTTAATGAAGTAAGCAAAAGACCGATATAGATCTAATGATACTACTTTTAATTAATTTAAACAATGTTAAAACTCAAGAGATAGTCGAAACTCGAAAAAAATTCGGTGACAGTGACAGTATTTACTGAGGGCTGACGTAACACACTTTGATTGGCGTTTTAAAAAACATGGCGGATGGCAGTGTTTTGTAATTTTATTTTCTAAAATAAAATAATAATCTCGTCTTAAATCTTAAAATGGAGATTTTTTCCACAATACATACACAATATTTTATCAGTTAAACACAATATTTTGATGGAATCATCAAAATATTGTGTTTAACTGATAAAATATAAGATAGATATGACAGTAAGACGGAATCGTCTTACTGTCGTCTTGCCCATTGGTGATAATTTGTCGTCATATCTCAGTGTTAGTACAATATAATTATGTCTGGAAAATGATATCAAATTTGTGTTTTTTACCGAAAAATGCCACACATCTCTCTGGATTTGGCTTTTTTTAGACCACTGAAGAGAGAATGGAGGAAAATTTTACTAAAATATAAACTTTCAAACCCTAGTATTTCTTCAATCAACAAATGCCATTTTCCTCAACTTTTAAAGGCATTATTGGAGAAAATAGAGCTGAATAACAATGAAAACTTGAAAAGTGGATTTCTGGCAGCTGGCATTTATCCGCTTAATCCATCTAAAGTTACCGACAAAATACCAAATATCACGGAGAAGAAAGAAGAAAAATTTGATACAGCTCTTTTAGACTTTTTACAGACCAGTCGACAATCCAAACCACTAAAAAGTGGTAAAAACCAAAAATATCAAATTACTCCAGGAAAGTAATTATCAACAGAAGATGCCGAAAAAATATCCATCAAAAAGGTGAAACCTGCAAAAGTAAAAGCAAATAATGTTGCAAATTCAGAAATTAACCACAATAACGTATTAGCAGCTCCACTCAGTGAAACTGATTCTATTACACAAATTTCAGAAAACGACAAAAAAGTCAAAGATAACTCTTTTGTCGGATATCAAATTTAGTACACTCAATACCCCATTTAGGTTCTTAGAAAACGCACCTTTACAGCTTACTGAGATCGATAAAAATACTGACTTGTTTCATACTTCAACGCTAAATCAACCTTCAGACACAAAATCTTTGATAGATGAGAATAGTGAGTGTAACTTACCAAATAAAATTGTTACTCTTGTAAACGTTCATGGTAGTTTAAGCAGCACTGATGAAGGAAATAATATAAATGCGGGTAATATAGTTAAGCCTCAAAAGAAGAAGAAATTAGTTAAAAGAATAAAGAAGGTTGCCAAGAAAGAAAGCCATCATTCGAAAGTAAAGCAAAAAAGGAATCCATGGTCGAACATGCTTTTGTCAACTTCTGACAGTGAAATAGAAATGAGCATACATAGTGATTCCGATTTAATGGATATCGACGTAATAACAACGTCAGAATGCGATGATCAAAACGACACGAGGATTGAAGCAACATTAGAAAAATCACAGTCATTTCCCATCGCTGATGACGACGAAACAATAATGAATGAGAATGATAATGAGGTTGAAAAGATAAAAAATAACGACGTACAAAAATCAGAATGGACGGAGGCTGGCCTAATAAACGATCAAATTTTACTCGAGACTCATGATAGAGAAATGCAGCATGATCCTAAGGCTTGTAATACAAAGTTTGACGTAGCAGAAAAAGACTGAAGAAAAAGACTGATTTTGAAGTTAACAATGAAAGTTGTGTAAAAGACTCATATAATATAGGAGAAACAGTTTTGATAAGATATTACAAAACAAAATCATGGAAGTATTATACCGGTGAGATAGAGAGTATCAGTCCAGATACAAAATTTTATACCATTTCATTTTATAAAACTATTGGCATAAAAACAGGTATTTTAAAATTTATTATGCCTAAACGTAACACAGATAAAGATATTGTTCCAGAAGATAGTATTGTGAAAGCAATAGAAATGTTGCAGATATCTGAAAACCCTAATTCTTACGTTTTAATGGAAGATCATGATCAAGTTTATTTTTTGAAGTAATTTTTTCCTTATATTGCTTTCGAACTAACTACACTTACTCTGCTCAATTCAGCTTTTTGCATAGAAAAAAAATATAACAGTTTTGTATGTAGGTGCAACAGCAGCGTTAAAATGAACGAATGTGCCGTTCAACTTAACGTTGCTGCATCACCATACAAAACTGTTATTTTTTTATGGAATAAGTTGAACTGAGCTGAGTAGGTAAGTGTAGTTAGTCTTTAATATTTTTATCACCTACGTGTGTAAGTAAAACTAATTAATTTTGTTGATTTTTTTGCTAAGTAGTTATACAAGTTCCTACTTTTGTGATAATTTTATTTCAAAATAATCAGATTTTTTTACAGTTTACATACAATATTGTTTTGAAGAAGTTTCTTCATAATATTGTTTTCTTAGAACTTAGATAGGTACTTAGATGTTTTCACATGTCTATGGAAAACTATTTGTTGATCTCACTAATGTAAAACTCTTTGTTGATTTTATGTAAAACTATTTGTTGATCTCTCTCGAGGAGCTCGTGGCTAAATGTGTGATGGGTGACCATCTGACATAGCGAGTTTCCTCCGTGCCTCGGAAAGCACGTAAAGACGTTGGTCCCGGCTGTCATTTGTAGATATTTGACAGTCGTTACTGTTAGTCAGAAGCTCTAAAGTCTGACAACCAGTCTTACTATGGGGTATGGTATTGCCCAGTTACTGGGTTGTGGAGGTCAGACAGGCAGTCGCTCCATGTAAAATACTGATATCCAGCTGAATCTGGTATGACTGGAAGCCGATCCCAACAAAGTTGGGAAAAGGCTAGGATGATGATGATGATTTGTTGATCTCTCTGCAGGCTGCTGTTGTAATTTTTATTATACATAATAGGTACCAATATTATTATTTTTTAAATGTTATTACCTACCTACATATTTGTTTTCCTATGAAAAAATGTTATTAGAATTTAAGTACAACAATTTTATTTTTTTTAAATATATTTCAATATTAAAAAAAATTGTTGCATTTCCTTTGGGGCAGCCCTACACCGAACTCACTTTTGTATGGGAGTTTTAGAGAAACCTGCACAACATTGCCTAGCATTGTAAAAAAAAATTCTTGTGCTATTCAAGATTCAGTGAAGCCTGACGTGGAAAAGAACTTTATGGCAATATGGGTGTCAAAACCGTTACCAAAATACCTATTCATTTAAAAAGATATTATGACAGGCAATGTTGTAGTTTTTACCTTAATTTTGCCTACGTTTTCAAAGCAAGTTTTTGGTGCTTTGTAAGTGTTTTTTTACTAGTAGCAAATGTATTCCTATAGCTTAAAGTCCAATTTTGGACAGTAATTGAAAAAACATACGACTTTCTTAACGATTAAAGATTTATCAAAGAAAAACGTCCGAGCAAAGTTGCAGCATTTTACGGTCCTCGAGAATTGATTGGTTCGAGGCACATGATGAGTTTATGATGTAAGCCCTTGGGAATTGATTGGTTCAAGGCATTCTAGTTTCTCCTTCAGAATTGATTGGTTGAAGGAGTTAGTCTAGTTGAAACCATCAGAATTGATTGGTTGAGGGATAGGTAGTCCTTCAGAATTGATTGGTTGAAGGATTTAGTGATTAATATAATCAGTAACTCTTAAGGGTAATTTGATACAGTCAGTTAAAAATATTAATTTACATATTATGATGAACTCACTTTATTATTAATTTAAACGAATTTCGATGTATTTCTGTCAAATATATCTGTTTTTTATTAAACTCATTTATGTAATCAATTTAAGTGTATTTAGGATTATTTCCGTTATTTTTTTTATTTTTACTTTTATTTATTTATTGATCTATTATCATGAACTCGTCTTTATAATTACTTTGATGTATTTAGATTTATTTTCATTAGATTCATTTTGTTTCACCCTTATCTTTAATAAATTTTGTAAAATATCGCCAAGTGTAAGGTTAGTCCACCGGGAACGTGTATGGGGACATACACGGTGTCAGGATGGACGAGTGTAAGGTTAAGTCATATTTTTAGACCCTGCATCTACATTTAATTTCATATTTTATAATTTTTAATAGTAAAATAAGTTGCTTAATTGGTATCACCAAACGAAATAATTAAAAAAAAAATAATGTAATTTTTCCAATGGGGAACACTTGGACAATGGCGGCATTCGGAGCGAGCTCACGGAACTGTACGGTTGTGTAAGCTATACTCAGTTGAAAATAAGTACCTAAATAAATAAATATTGTTTGTCTTCTGGAGATCTTGGGGTTTTCTTTGGAGAGGAGTCCTATACATTGGATCGCTCGATTCCCTACAAAATGGTTGAGTTGGGCGGTGCTGGGGTACGTGTCATGTTCGTGAACGGAGGCCGTCAATTGGGACCGGTCAGCTCCGACTGTATGATTTTATTGTCATCAAGGTTATTTTCTTTTTCAATCTCTTTGACTGCATTTAGGTGTTGCATTGTTCTCTCACTATAGAACCAACAAAACTATGTAACTAGAGAATTGTATTGTAAACCTGATTGAAAAAGAGTAACCTACGGAGTTTCTTGCTCGTTCTTCTCCATAGGAATCTACACCTTGGCAACTAGCTTCAGTTCAAAATTTTTGTTGTTGATGTTCAAAAGTGCCTTCCTGGTCTAATTGAAATAAATAATTTTGACTTTGACTTTAAAGAAATAAGTAAATAGAAAAAAAAACAAAAAAGTAGGTATTTGATTTTGTTAATAGGTAGATGAATTGAAATCTTTTAAATACACCTCCTTACGAACTTTTTAACGAAATTATTCTTTATTCCTAAAAAGCATTTGAAGTACAGATGGGACTAGGTGGACTAAGTGAAATAGGTATTTGGATCACGTATTTAGGCGATAAAAAAGGTGCACCTAGTCTTCGATTTACTTTTTTTTTAACCCGGGGAAAATACTTTATGT